ATTATTATTATTATTATTATTATTATTATTATTATTATTATTATTATTATTATTATTATTATTATTATTATTATATATATATTATTTTTTTTTTTTCCAAGGACCGATAAAGGTCAGAGAAGAAGTTTAAGACCTTTCCTTCATATAACCCTTTTATTCGTATAAATTAACTTTGTAACTTCAAGGTTGGAAGTTAGCTTTTGAGAGTTCTGATAGATTTATGATGAACTCCTTCTCGGAAGGAAACGATATGGTACATTTTATACTTTTTGAAGTAGAATATTGAGTTCACAGTTCCATCAAATGGTTACTTTTTGAAATAATGTCCATTATAAAGTTTTTAATAAACTATTATAAGGGCAAGCTTTTTATGTTTTCCCTACAGTGTAAAACTTATATACTTCCCCTTATCCAACCGTCCATATTTAATGGAGGGCTAAGATTGCCCCAATCACAATGTCACATCTCTACATCATTTTATTTTTAATCTTTTTTTCTATAAACTATTTTGACACCAAAATTTGGACGTCCAATCCTCTATTAAATTCGTACTAGCGAAAAATATAAAAAAAATATTTTCAATAAAATAAAATAACCAAAATACCCCTAAAAGATTTAAAGGGTATTTTGGTTATTATATTTTATCAAAAATTTATTTTTAATATTTTCTATAAGTATGCCCCAATGAGAAGATAGTACGTACCAAATTTCATATTCATACAATTTGTATAAAAAAAATTAAAAATAAAATATTTTAAGACATCGAATATAAAATCAAGCGGTGAGTGGCTCTCTTGATCAAAATTGAACGGCTGGATGGTAGAGGAAGCATAGGCCTTCTATGCTGTAGGGAAAGTATAGAAACCTTTCTCTTGTTATGAATCAACTTCCGAGCTTCACAGGTAAGTTGATTTGAGAGAAAATTATGTGAATAAAAAACTTCATACCTTCAAGAAGTTGATATTTAAAATAACTTTAGACCTTCACTAAATTTATAAAAATAATAAAAAATAAACTTTTTTTTTTGTGGAAGGAATATTTGACAATTAAACCTTAGACGTTATACAATTGGGCTGCATGCCGCCTGCTCCACGAGAAAAAACACAAACACATTACTTTTTATTTTTTAATTCATAAACCACAGGGTTATTTTTCCTTTGGAAAAAGTTTATATAAGGTTACAACTATATACGTAAAACCATAGATGCACCTCAAAAATCCATCGGAAAAGTAGTTTTTATGCTGAAAAACCCTTTGATTGATCATCCCGACATCAAGATGTATGACCATGAAAAATAAAAAGATTTTAAGTCTAAAAAATAGTGCATTTCACAACATATTATCTACACCGTCTGTTTTCAAGATTTTCGTGTATGTTTATAGATCTACTTGATTTTAACCATTTTTTAAATTTAAAATTTTATAATTGAATATAAAAATAGATTTTGAGATAATCCTAAAGAACATTTTACATCAAAATCATATACCGTGAAATTTGAAGGTGCACCTTACCTCTACAGCTACAGATGCATCCGTATGATAACTGCACCCTTTTTATTCTTCTAATACATAAAACTATGTTTGATTCATCAAAGAGTGTGCTGGTTAGGTAGCAACAATTGGGATGGTTCTTGATCGGAGTTCTTGGGTTCAATCCTCGTGAATGCCCTTATTTTCAACGTAAACAATTTAAATAAATAAAAAAATTCAAACAGAACAGATTTTAGCTCTTGAAATCCTAGATCTGACAATTCCACAAATGGAAGGCTGGAAATGAATCTTTGCAGTGGGGAGAATCGGAGCACTTCTAAGTTTGTAACAATTTTTTAAAATAAAAATGATAAAAAAATCACCCGTGTTTTAGGAGGGGAATATGTCTTCTTCTCTTAATGTTTACAAATGTTTCGACTCTGCTACATAAACATATTCCAATTTTTTCATATTTTGAAAAAAAATAAAATCCATCCAAATCAACAGGAGCACCCAAACAAAAAAACAAAAAAGAGGCCTCTGAACCCACTACAAATTGAACTTCCGGGAACAAGAACCACACAATCCCAATTGTTGTCAAAAGAAAAGAAAAGGAGAAAAAAGAACTACACAATTCAATCAAAAGAACTCAAATGAAAGCCAAATGGCTCTAAATCTATGAACCAGTATCATATTACTTCATGCGACAAAACTATAACTTTGAACGCCAGATAACGTTTGCAATCTCAATACTAGAATTCCCCATGGACACAATACATCAAAATCTGCTGAGGGCCAGTCTTTACGTCTAGATAGGCTTGATCTTGAAATGCAACGCGATGAGAGAGAATACAAAGCACTTGAGATCCTGCACCAGCTCAAGGTTAGTGAGAATGTTTCTTAGAATACCTAACTAGAGTTTAATTATTTATTGTAATGCAAATTCCAATGAAAAGCTGCACAAACAACTACTGATGCATGAAAGCCAATAGCCCTCGAGGATTTTCTTGTGACCCCTTAACACTCCAGATTATCATACATGCAATCAGGGGTTTCTTAAGGAGTTCCAAATTGGAGTCGGCCAAGTATCCTTAAAACAAATCATGATGCACTTGATAGAAATATGTGATTGAGTTGGAGATTCACATAATGGGTTTCACTTGGACGAGGACAAGGGGTAAAGCATGGGCAGCGATCTTTGAATTTTTAATTGCTGTGTATATGTGACCCTTGAATTTTATTTTTGAAATGAAACACGTGTTTAGTGAACCTTGTCCCTAGGTAAGTCAAGGTCCATTCTAGAGGACCATGCAGGCTTCATGGTCTAAGCCTTTAGTTAAAACACACCCCCCCTTCTTCTTTTTTTCTGAAACACTAAGCTTCTACAGAGGCTAGAGAATGCAAAGTTGGAATTGTAGGTAACAGATTGAGAGAATTATAAGGGAGTAGAACACAGTCCAGTGAAGCAGTACAGTTTTATAGCATCCAGTCCGAGCGAGATAATTAATGATGTCATTAGTGGTTAGCCTAAATACACAGCTGCATGACAAGAACTATCAAGGATCTCTCCCATGACATCTACTAATATCCATGAGAGAAACCCATCCCCACTAGCTCAACTAGTGATAACTGTGATATTCATCAAATCTCCTGCAACCTCTCGTGGGCTGGAAAAGCATAGAAGGAAACTCTGTAATCCTCTGAGCCCTTGCTTCTGCAGTGCTAGTATCACCACACCTAAGATTTTCATTAAAATTTCGGCAGCCTCATATTGTGAAGCCTGACCCAGTAATGCTGAGGCCCTAGACATGATATGGTTCCCAAGATCCAACGCTTCAACTTGGAAACCATACTCCCCACTAGCACCCCAGTGCACACACACATCTACATAATATAGTCATGGACCACGACTACTAGATAATCATTCATATCGATGCAAGAAGTGTTTGATACTTCACAAATCAACACCAACTACTCACTGAATCTCAAGAAATAAACAACATTTAGTGATAATCACAAGTAGAGAAGAAAAACCATCAAGAAAAAATAAATCCACCTAAAAATTTCACTCACTTCAGAGACATAAGGACAAAATTCAGAATCATCCCCAACAACCCACTCCAACGATAATTATTTAAAAACCCAAAATAGCTGTTACAAAATCCTAATCATCCACTCCTTTCCAATGCCATCCATTGATTAAATTAAACTAGATAAACAAATATTCTTACAGATAAGCAGAGCTAAAAGTAACAACTTAAAAGAAAACTACGATAGTTGCCAAAACTTCCCCAATGTGTTAGGATGTGACCACCATTCATGCAAAACATTTGAAAACACAACTCTAGCGGGTTGCCTACAACAGAGAAAAATGGATAACGAAAAAATGGTAAAATTGGTAGCAACTCAAATTGCCAATCCTGATGATCATTTGGCATGGTGCAATAAGTTGCAAAAATATAAATATGTTTTATAAGTTGCAAGAACTTATTGTCATTGTAGGGTTTTATGGTCATCTAAATATTGCCATTGTAGGGTCTGGGGGGATGATTCTGACATTTGTTTTTTAAGGACAATGAAGTGATTCTCAATGTTGTTTCCTGTTTTCTCGATTTCCCTTCTTTACTTGTGATACCCCTTTATCTCTCTTTACTAAAATAAAGGAGTGACATGCCTCCTCATCCCATGTATTTTGAACAAATTTCAAATTTAAAACAAGAAAGATCTATGCATAAAATTTAATGGAAATGGAACTTTAATTGAATCCCACTACAAAAGTACAAATTTCAATCTCAAACCTCAACACCATTTTCTCTACAATTCTTCACTATCTAAGAGAAACCCAATAATCTTAATGAATACAATGCATATCTCACGTTCTACTCTTACTCCATTATGTTTACTCTTACTTTCAAGGAGAATAGGCTAAAAATACATATAGATGCTTAAAGAGATTTCTAGATCCATTCTAGAGACTATCCAATGAGTTCACAGAGTTTTCTAGAGTTCCACAGAGCTACACGAATTTTTTAAAAGATGACTCTAGAATCTAATAACTTGCTAGACAAGTAAGCAATTTTCCCTCTATACTCGAAAGTTCAATTTAAATTACAACTCTGCCCTTTTGATGGAGGACAAAGCTATTCTTATTTTTAATATTTGTTTGATTTCAAAGGATTTATCTTCATCTATTTCATTACTCTCTGAAATCAGTGCCACAATTTGCAGATTCTGAATCAATCATCCTTCCACTGCACTACTCTGATTCCAATGCCCTAAATCTCTTTAATGCTCGACCTCTTCGATATTAATGAGATCTTCAAAGGCCATGATTTGAATTACTCCTCATCCTGCCTTCTCTTCATATTCTTCACGCTCTTCCAAAATCTCTTCATCATTACATTTACCCTCATCATAGATCCCCAAACGATATTATTATTCATCATAGTATGTATCGAAGATTGGTGGTGAATCCCAATCTACAACTTATTGATGTACGATGCAATCTATGTCAAAATCCAGAATCTAATCCTCCAAATAAAAAATCCTAGAGTGATGCACTCCACATCTAGGTCTCTGGTCGCTATCCTCATCAATCGACTCTACACGTGGAACACAAGTGAAAAGGCTTGTACTAGAGATCTTTTTGGGCTGAAAAATCATCGTCTTGCCCATTATTGAGGCTCACAAACTGCTGCATCAGCTGCTGAACTTGCCTTTCAAGTTCCTCAATTCTCTTATCTTTAGAATTACAGAGCAGATTTACAACCCCCCCCTCCCCCCCCTTCCCGCAGGGCCTCTTTTTACAACCATGGAATCACCAAACTCACAAACTCTAGGCAAATAATCAACAAAAAATTGCTGAAATCAACAGGATCAAGGTTAGTTTGGCAAAACTTTGGCCAAAATCAACAAACCTTAGAAACCCATTGTAACTTCCCCTCTTTATTGTTGATAACAAACTGACACTATAGTACTATCCCGTACAATGATACAATAACATCCGTACAATGCTATAGTAACTCCGTGCATTGCTACAGTACCATCGGTGTAGATCGCGGGCTCTAATACCAATTTGATGCGGGAAAATTGAGAAAAGAGGCCAAAAACGGCTTAATAACCATCAAAACAAGCCAGCTTTGAGTGGATCTAGCTTTCCTTGCACAAAAAAAATGACCCCCAAAACCCTAGATGAGCTTTCTAACACTATTTACAGTCTGGTTTTATTGTTCACACCCTAAAAAGTGTTAGAAACCCCAACACCCCAAGTCTTTTTATTACATTATGATAAAAAAAGACCAAAACTACCCCACTTAAGTTAAAACATTATAAAAATATGTCATAAGTTCCCTCACTTAAAAGAAAATTCGTAATGACACTTTTACACCTGATAAAACAAGTATTCCATAAGTATTCTAACAACTTTTCTAAACATCTCCTAAAATCTTAAAAAATATAAAAAATCTTAGATTCTCTAAAATGTACTTAAGAACCTAAAAAAAAAATGCTAAGACTAAAATAAAAAGAGAAGTCCTTTGAAATCAAACAAATATTAAAAATGACGAGTGCTAGTTCACACCTCGCACTGCTGGAACGACCAACCAGCATGATGCCTTAGACCAAAAAGGAGTTGTTTCAAGAGTTAGGCGACCTGAAAGGGGTGCCGATAGCAACCTCAAGTGTTCAGGGATCGGGCATGTCTCATCATAGTGTCCAAATATCGAGTTCATTAACCTTTCTGAGGAGTTTTATGATGAAGACAGCAATCATTCTTTTGAAGGTGATCCCATCTACAATGAGCTGATTGATGAATTGGACCCAGAAGTGACCTATAGTGATCATGGGGAAGGATTGGTGATTCGGCACATCATGATAACGCCCTGGGTAGTAGATGAGGCAGATTGGTTAAACCTAAAGAATTTCTCATCAATTTGCTTCCAAAATCAGCAAGAAATTGATTGGACTCTTCACCAGTCTTTAATGAGTGTTTAGATGAAGAAGGTAGTGATCCAATTTTTGATGACGAGCCAAGTGAAAACAAGAAACGTGACAATGGTCAAGATGAAGATGAAGAAGATTTGGAAGGGGAAGTTGTTGATTTTGTAAGGTGACATATAATGACCATTTCCTCGAGAGATTCTCAAAAGTGTTTATGGATATATCAACTGATAGCAAACACTCAGTGTCAATACACAACCAATGTATTTTCACTAGTGCAATAACCCACAAGTCCTAGGATCGTATTTACAAATTTAAGGTTGCTGGACTAATGCAAGTTTCATCCTAGCACGCTTCAAAACTGGAGAACGAGTTTTCTCCAACTAAGGAAGAAAGATGGAGGGCAAAGCTATTCTTATTTTTTATATTTGTTTGATTTCAAAGGATTTATGTTTTTTATTTTAGTCTTAACATTTATTTTTAGGGCCCTAAGTTCTTTCTAGGGACCCAAGATTTTTTACAGTTTTAAGGATTTTAGGAAATGTTTAGAAAAGTGGTTAGAATACTCATGGAATTATTTGTTTTATCAGGGGTAAGAGTGTCATTACAAATTTTCTTTTAAGTGAGGGGCCTTATGGGTTACTTTTATAATGTTTTAGCTAAGTAGGGTTAATTTTGGTCTTTTTTTATCATAATGTAATAAAAGGACTTGGGGTGTGCACAGTAAAAACAGACTGTGAATAGTGCCAGAACCCTATCTAGGGTTTTAGGGTCACTTTTTTGTGTTAGGAAAGCTAGATCCACTCAAATCTGTTTTGTTTTGATTGTTATTGAACTGTTTTTGACCTCTTTTCTCTATTTTCTTGCATCACCTTTACCAGAAATTTCTAGCCAAGTTCCAAAATAACCGTCATGATAAACTATCAAACTACCTGTGTAATATAACTAAATCTTACTCCACATAGCCCATGTAAGCAATGTCGTAAAAGGTGGATTCGGGGGAGGAGAGAGATAGAGGGTAAGGTGGAGTTGATGTCCTTGCATTGAGAGAGAGGTGGAGTTGATGGAGCATTGGTTATCAAATGAATATTTTTATATGTTAAATGGATATATTTCTATTTTAATGTGTTGGGATAAGTTGTCCTAGTATTAAATGTTTATTAATGGTCTATGTAGAGACAAAGGGAAGGGGTGTTATAGGTAGAGAGAGAGAGATCATCTAAAAAACTTTTTGCTTTACCTCTTGCTTTTTTCTAATCATTTTTCTCATGGCATCTGCCTAGGTGGGAAGGTGCCGAGGTATCTGTTAACATAAGGTGCCTGCCCTGACCAATTCAGTTTGCTAAGGCCTCCTGGCTGCCTAAGCGACCGAGCGGCCTAATTTTCGAACACTGGATGCAAGTAAATGACACATTGTTTATAACACTTCAACTTCACCGTAACACGGTTGGGCTAAATCCTTGACAAGTGCCATCAACCAAACACTTTCTTGTGTTGCCATTGTTGTTGCTTTGTACTCCACTTATGTGCTTGGAAGTGCCATATTGTTCTGCTTCTTCTACACCAAGATTTGGCACCCAAACCTTTGCTAAATGCTTCTTCTACACCAAGATTTGGCACCCAAACCTTTGCTAAATATAGAGCCTAGATAACATTCATGTAGTTGAGCAACCAGTTCTTGTATCAGGAAACTTCAAGCCACCCGCATGCCTTGTACCATGAGGTTTCTCTAGAATTGCCAAATTGTCTTACAATCCCCTATCATAAGGGACATCCAGCCTAGGAAGTGTTAGACAGATCGGACTACTCACAGTCTTCAATACATTGTAATTCTGAAAGGCCTTTTCCAACATTGGCTCTCAACTTAGGAGTTCGTCCCAAGGAGTTGTGATGGGTTTGCAACTTTCCATACTCAAGTTTTTCGACAAAGTTAATACATAGAAACAAACCCTTACTACAATTAATGACCAAGAAAATAAAAGATCTCCCCATATTCTTTAGCTCGGGTCAAATAGCGAGCTAGTCATACATCCTTTCAAGTTCTTCAAATCATTACTACTTGCACTTAATCGTCTACGTAAAGCAAAATAATGGAAGTTTCCTGTTCACAAATTTAAAGAACAAATTCAAGTCGGCATTAGAATTCTAACCACAAAGTAAAAGACGTTCAAGAATTTTTCCATACCAAGCCTTCGGCGCTTATTTTGAACTATAAAGAGCATTCTTTTATGTACACACATACTCACTATATTGCTTAGACTGAAATCCTAGGGGGGCTGCATCGTGTCAATATCCAGATTTATCTCACCTTCAAGGAATGTGTGCTCACATCCATTTGCCATAACTTTCATCCTTTGCTTGCAGCTAGTACAAAGATGGTTCTCGCCGTAGTCATCTTTGTGATTGGCTAAAAGTCTCATCGTAAACTAGCCCATACTTTGGAGAGAACCAATGAACCACAAATCTTGTGCTGTACTAGTTGATTGAACCATCTTCTTTTCTTTTCGGTTTGTAAACTCATTTGCAACTAATGGAATTATGCCATTGGGGCATGAGACTAAATCCCAAGTATCTACTGCCATGTTCGAACAAAAACAAGATACCAAGAGGATCATGGGAGTCCCTTCCGCAGTTGATAAGTGCACAAAAGGGGAAATCTGTTTACTTGTCTAGCAAGTTACTAAATTCTAGAGTCAAACTATAGAAAATTCATGTAGCTCCAAGGAGCTCTAGAAAAATCTACATAACTCATTGGATAGGCTAGAATGGGTCTAGAAACCTCATTAAGCATCTATATACACTTGTAAGTCCTTTTCCTTAAAACTAAGAGTTCAAAGGATGAAGAATTGGAAAATAGGCGTGCATTGTGTTCTTTATTGGGTTTCTCCAGGAGAAAGTGCAGATTCCTGGGGAAAAGATGCTGAGTTTGAGATTGTAGAAAAGTTCCTTTTCCAACAAATTTCCAACAAAGTTTTGGAACCCTTTTTGGTTATAACATGTTGAATTTTAAATTTGTTGGACGATCCATGCCACTTCTAGAGGAAATCTCCACTTTGGATAACTCCTTTAGTTTAGTAAAGAAAGATAAAGGAGGCAAGCATGGCACTTTCTTAGGGGGGAGAATCTTGACAATATAAAGGCAACACACCACTTAATGAGAAGGAAAACAACCAACTGAACAACACATAAACAAAGATGCTAACTATTAATAAACATAGGCAAACATCAAGGGGAGATGTCAAGGCCAAAAGTCATAACAAAGCTCATGATATTACCTCAAGAAGCTCATAAAACCCTCTTTCTATCTTCTCTCACTCTTAAGTTTTTCTTCTCTATCTTGAACATCTCCTAAACAAGACACCTCTGTTTATATATAGAGGATTTTTCCACAACTTCCAACACATTCATTTACTGATAACAACCACCCTTTCTAATTCCAAAAGCATCTCCTTGTTCCCTTTGCCACTGAAGAACATTCATTTGCTTTTTTCCAGAATCTCTACAAAACCTTAAAAGAAACTAGAAAACCCTAAAAGTATAAATGACCAATCTACCCTTCCAAGTTTTAATTTATATTTTCCAACATTCCCCCGTAATTCAAAAATGTTCTCTTTCTTTCCCTTGAATGTCAGCATTACAATCCTCAACTGGGTTTTCCATCATATTGATCATCATCTAGAGATCTTCCATGTTTCCCTCTAATGCCTCAACTCGCTCCAGCATCGGACACCAAGCCTTCTTCATACTCATCATGAAATTCGTTTGGAGCTTCATAGTCATTCTCCACTTCATACATATCCTCAAAGTAGGATACTACAAGAAAAAACTGCACTTCATTTGGCCTCTTTCCTTGTTCGCTTGGCAAAGCCAACAAATTCAAGAAACCTATGAGAACTTCACTTCTGAAAATTGGACGACAGTTGTACCTCCTATTTTGTTTTGCAAACCAGTTTTTCTTTTTTCTAAGCCTTTGACTTATATCAGGAAGTTTGCTTTTATAGGTTGCCCTTGCCATGTGTCCTTAAACTATTTCTCTCCAAAATCAAAACACTTCGATATTTTTCCTTTGGGGTGACTGCTGCACCCTTTTCTAAATTATTTTCAAAGACTCTTAAGCTTTCAAAAGAGATTGTACCATGTCACTTCTGCAATCATTTTCAAATACCATGAACTTTTAAGCTCTCCCTTCATGCCTTAAAAAAAAAACCAGTTTTGTTTATCACAGAAGCCACTTGTCATTGCATAAAGACATTGGAAATGGATTATCATCATTAATACCCACAATAAAAACTCTTAAAAAATCATCACCAAATCTTCCCGGTTTGCCACTCAATATTCCCAACAGGAAGTTGGGAATTAATTTAGGTGACTGGCACATTTTTGGAATCATTTTCAAAAAGTTTTAAGCTTTTTAAAATAGATTCTACCACAATACTTATGCAACCATTTTCAAAACACCACAAGCTTTCAACCCACCCTTCATGCCTTCATTAAACATCCTATTTCATTTATCACAAAATGCCACTTGTCATTGTGAAAAGTTATCAGAAATGAATTACCATCATTAATACCCAAAACAAAACTCATAAAAAAAACACCATCAATCTTCCTTATTTTCCACTCAATATTCCCAACAAGAGGAGGTTGGGAACTAATCCAGTGAATTATTTCATTCTAGACTGTCTATGAAGCAAAAGATAACTACATATTGAAGACTCCATCTAGTTTAAGGCACTAGAACAATAGACCCAAAGTCAAGCTAATCCAGCCTATCCCTAATCACCTCATTTCCAAAACTCAAAAGTTTAAATTCCTTTTATATAGATGGCTTAAGCCTCAAAGTTCAACGTCAATATTTTTAGTACAATTCATTTCAAGGACAAAATATGCATAACTCATCATGAATCACATAATTATTCACACTTAAATACCAAATAGTATTTCTCAGTTTGTAAGGCTTGTAGATGCAGATTCTGGTTCATATTTGCTTGCTATGCATTTGCAAGATACATATTAGCATGCCCTATGATGGTATCTAAGGATAGACCTAGAGTATGGGAGATTTGTTATCTTCTTCATTAAGTAATACTTTTTATTAAGTAAATCAGACTCTATATTTACTGATAGGAAGCATTAGCAAGAAATGGTGCTAATACTTTCTCACTCCAAGATTTCATACCGAGTTGCAGCAGCATTGGAAAGAAATCCCATGCACGGATCATGAGGATAGAACAGGCCTTGCCAAGAATCCTCTCCTTCAGTTAGAAGTGCTGGATTGAGATACTCGATAAGCCTCATGATTGACCATCTATAACATTGCAGCTTCCAGTTTTCCCACATTTTCCCCTTAAGTATATGGATGCCGAAAATCAGTGTCCCACATTATACACCGGCAACTTTTTTTTTTTTTGGGGTGAAAGCTAACTGCAACACTCATTTGTTATGACATGATTTTAGAGGGTCCAAGGCACAATACTTGGTTTGTGAGAGGATGGGATCTCTTTGCCTAAGGTGCCAAATTGACTCCTCTTGATGGTGCTCTTGAGTTCAATTTGACCATAGCTATTTCTGGAATCTGATGCCACATTTAGATGGTTCATTTTTGTGTGTGTGTGTGTGTTTGGGGAGGGGGGGGGGATTGGGGGGTGACATATAACAGGTGTGTACAAACCCATCCAAAGTAGTGTGTTCCACTTAATTTATCAAAAAAGAAAATAAATATCTCCCCTGTAGAACTTCCCAAAAAATCCAACCGAATTTGTTTTATTGCTTAATAATACAAAATTTTCTAAATAGAAACATAGAAATCTCATCACGCAGAGGGATTTGAAGACTTAAAATCAGTTGATACAACAGAATATACTCAAAAGAGCTGAATAAACTCAATAAAAACTTGTATAGAAAAAGAGGGGTTTATTTGATTACCTGGACGAGGTAATAGAAGATTCGGAGGCCTTCCGGGTCTTTGCTGCTTTGAACGTCCATAAGAGAGCCAATCTTGGAGGTTGTAAATGAGATGTGCTCATTTCCCATCACAATCTCAAGCTCTTGCCGACCCACGCGATCGGGCTCTGGCCAGTTATTGTCATCTTCCTTCATTATCTGCACTCAAACAAATAAGAAGAAAAAAAATGAGAGTTGAACGCCAAAAAAAATTAATTCTAGGCCAGGAAAATGCAATTGTTGAACGAGAGGAAACCCTAGGAAAGAAAAAGAAAAACCAAATAAAAGAGAGGGAGAGGCGAGAGAGAGAGAGGAAACTAAAAAAGAAGAGAGAAAAAAAATCCAAACCCTAACTACTGGTGAAACTGAAGAGAATACAAGCGCCAAATTCTGATCAGAAACCCTTTAGATTTCAAACGAATAAAGAGCAAACACCCTCCAAATAAGTAAAAAAAAAGAAGAAGAAGAAGAAGAAGAAGAAGAAGAAAGAAAGGTAACAGTAAGGAAAAGCCATGGAGGCGCCCCATGACAACGACAGAAAGAGCAATTCCAAACCCTAACTTTCAGTGCAACTGAAGCAAAGACATTGAACCAGAGAAAAGCCTAAAGAAAAAAAAAGAGAGAGTAAGAGATAGAGAGAAAGAGGGGCATGCCTCGCTCTCCGCTATGATGCGGCGGCATTCTCTTATGACAGCGGGAGTGACAAAGACTTCCTTTCTGATCATAGTATCGTTTTTGTAGTTGGAGTTGTTTGCATATCTGAGCTTCCCATCAGGCCTGAACTCGAATTCCAGAAACTCATGCCCAAACTTCCCCTTGTGACCCACATAATACCTCACATAGAACTCACCACCCGCCTCCTCAGAACCCATCTTCTCTCCCTTCTTCACTCTCTCTCTCTCTAGACCCCTCTGTATATATATAGAGAACTTAGTAGCTGTCCTCTCTCCCCCCTGTTCCTCTTATTAATGCCGTTTCTCTCTCTACTGGGTGAATGCTCATTTGTTGAGGAGAAACCGATAACTCTTCCATAAAATGACATGAACGAAAATTTATTTTTGGGATTGTCACTGTACATAAGGTTAAAAACACTGATGTTAAATTTAGATCGTTTACTTGACGTGGGCAGGGAAGTTAGGATTATTATTATTATTATTATTATTTTTATTTTTTTTTGAACTATGTAGTAAGACGCTTTTACAACGACTTATTTTAAAAATCGAGGGACAAAAATAATTGTAACTTTTATGTACAAAAAATAAATAAAAATGGTTTCATGCAAGCTGGATTGCATTTCTATATATGCTGTCCAGAAAATGTAAAGCATCCGTCTTAAAGATGGATCCAAGTATATGTTACATCTAAAAACAATGGAAACTCCAAATGTTTTTCGATTAGAATTATTATTTTCAATTTTTAATTTTTAAATTTTTTTCATATCCTTGATCTCCATGTTAGATATTATATGTCATGAAAAATTAATTATTAAACTCCATCTCAAAAATACATTTTATTAAGAGGCTGCATTTCTACATATGCGGGTTTGGCCAGATAGAAACTGGGTCCAAAGATAAATAATCTTTTTAGGGAGAAGTTTATATAGAGCCGAGGCTCTAAACAATCAAATTTGAGCCTACCTCAAAAATTTCATTAAAAGAGTTTGTTTTGATGCTCAAATATTTTCAAATTGACCATTCGACATCAATATGCATGGACATGAGAAAAAAATGGATTTCAAGTTTTGGACATAGCGTATTTTATAACACAATTTTAGACTGTCAATTTTTAAGATTTTCAAGTTTTCATAGATCTATCAATCTACACTATTTTTGAATCTTTAAACTTTATAAATAACTATAAAAATATATCTTAAGGCTATCACAAAGATTTCCAATATTAAAACCACATTTCTCGACACTATTTGAAGGTAGGCTCTAATTTGATTGTTTAGAGCCTAGGCTCTATACAAACCGCACCCTTTTTTTTTTATAGACAATCTTTTTTTTGTTTTTTGGGGAAAAAGTTTTTTCTAAGGTTACCATCATCATCGATGTTTTTTTTTAATTAATTGGGGCTGGTTACACAAATCCTAATCCGCCATCTAATTTAAAGTTAGAAAATCCTCTAATTGATTATTTTGACTTTGATATATTAAAAAAAATGAATTATAATTCCTAAAAGTAATGCACATTACAACAAATTATTCAGACCATTTATTTTCAAGATTTTTTAGGGCTTATATATCTCCTTAATCTATATTTTTTTCAAAATTAAAAATTTTAAAGCAAAACCTTATTTGGGAAGTCAATTACCATTTAGATAGTGATTTGCCGAATATTACGGGCACCACCTCCTCTCTCGAAAGATTTTTTTTCTAAGTTGCCTCCTGTCTGTCAACAAAAACACTAAAATTTGAGACCAAGAGCAACATGGTGAAGGGGTTGAGTTTCCATGGCAAGCGGCCATGGATCTTGGCTAACCTTCACAAGGGTGTTATTCGGCTGTGGAACTACCGTATAGGAACTCTCATTGATTGATTCGAGGAGCATGATGAACCTGTTGGAGGTGTCTACTTCCACAAGTCTCAGCCATTGTTTGTTTTTGGAGGTTCTCTTTCTCCCCTCTCTCCCCCCAGTTGGTTATGATCCTCTCTCTCTCAACACGCAAAAAAATAACCCATATCCACTGTTTTTATTGTCATACGCGGGGCAACTTAGGAAAAAAAACCGCAAAGAAAAGAGTGGCACTTGTAATATTGGGCAAATAACCTCTCAAATAAGATCCGTATCTAATTTGCTCAAAATTTTATAAGTAGGGGTACAAATAGAATTTTAGGTTATCATAACCTTTTTAGCATCAAAATATGCATCTTACTTTGATTGTTTAGAGCGGACACCTTGAATAAACCTCACCTTTTATTTAAACGTAAAGAGATTTATATTTCAGAAAAACTAGGACTAAAAAGAAGCAGGAGAAGTAGGAAAGAAACTTCATGTGGACCTCATTTCCATATCTGCCTCAAAGATATTCCCACGACATTCCAAGAGATCATATTATCACAAGATGCACCTCTTCAGAGGGGGTAATGGACGACAAGATGGACACTACAATGTCCAATAATACATGGAAATTAGTAGACTTGCGCCACCTCAATATACATGAAGGATATTATGATGCCCAGTTGAACTTTGGTTCAACATCAACATCCATAACATTGGCGAAGCAGTAGCATTCAAGGCTGAATGGCTAAAGAATTTGTTGGCAGAAAGCTATATAAGGCAATATCTATAGAAAGTAATTGTGAAGCAGCTTTTTGCGGGGCAAATAATAAGATATATAATGGGAAATTTAGACATAAGTCTGATGCATAATAAGGTTAGACAATTTCTCTGTATGTCACATTGGATTATGTGAGGTCATTACAAAACTTGGTAGATCCACTCACCGAAGGCCTAGCTAGGGTTCGTCCAGGCCTAAAACATGTCCCTACAGGCCCCGCTCCTAGATTGTAAAGCCCAAACTGGACCTAAGGGCCCCTAAGGATTTGGCTAGTTGGGTCAGGTCTAGTGGAAATAAAAAAGGAACAGATACAAATATGGCAAAAAGACAGGGCCGGGCTGAGCAACCGTGGCCCTTAACCTAGGCCTAGTCCCTTGGGCCAAGTTTTGTGGCCCTAGCCCTAGGCTTTCAAGGCTAGGCCGACCGAGCCTCTCGGCCAATTACCAGCCCTAAACATATGTGCCATTATCTTATTCAGTGCAGGCATCTTAAATTGTTATACAGAATTTTGAAGTATATGAGAGATTTTCAAATGAGCATGAAGAACAGGAACAGTAACGTTGAAGTGTTACCATGGATGAATGTCAATGGGAATATGTTTATGCAAATGCAACAAGTCAAAATGTATATGAGAAAGTTCTATCGGCAACAGAGGAAGTTTCATTGGCAACTCTTTTTTTTTCTCAAACTGTTCCATTGGCAACTTGGAGTGCCAGTGGACTGGGCCAGGTCTCGAGGGTTGTGTCTCGGCCAATTTTTGGGCCTTGGACAGGGCCTGGTCCGGGCTTTCATAAGCCTGTTTTATTTTATTTTATTATTTGGGCTGGGCCATATCGTAACCAGCCCAAACACCCGAAAGTTATGTGGCCCATTTCAACCAATCTTCTCTATCTGCTCGCAACTGAGAATTACACCCAGAAGTCTATGCATTATTTTTCAATATCGTCCAACATCGTCTTGTTTAATGTTGAGCGTTGTTTGCCAACCTTAAACAATCCAATTAAAATGCATTTTTAAATTTTAAACTCTAAAAATAATTCAAATCAAGTACATCTAATAAACACATGAAAATCTTAAAAATGAACGGTACATATAATGTGCTGCAAGATACATTATTTCACTGAATCTAAATCTTTTTTTCTTCTCATATTCATACTTCAAAATGTCGAGATGATCACTTAAAGGGTTTTCCAACATTCAAACCTTTTATGAAGGATTTTTGAGGTGCTCTTTAATATTACGTTTTAAGTTTGCAACCTTATGTAAACTCATTCTTTTACTGTTCTCTACAGTTTTAAAATATTTAATATAACTTAAAAAATATAAAAATATTGTAGACTGTAAATTCATGAATATTTAAGAATTTTATAAAAAATGTGTCATTCATTATAATTGCTAAATATTACAATAAACAAAATTTTGCTACTACAAAAAGCTTTTATCCCAAATTGAATGATCAAAACGTCTTGTGAGTGTTTGACTTAATTTCTACTTTGACAGATAATTATATTATTAAAATGTGCCCGTCCCTTACCAAATCTTGAACTTGACTAAATATTTGGAAATTCTTGGACAATAATATTTTATTTATGTATTTTTTAGCAATAGCTTGGTATCTGGTGAGAGTGGGGCTCTAGATGGGTAAATGAACAATTTTGCCCCCTTTTAAAAACAAATTCATAGGTTCTCGTTTTTTTTCATCTTTCACTTTTTTTTTTCCACAGTTTCTTCCCACCCATTGTCTTTCTCTTTAGAAACCTAATTTTGTAAACTTTTCTATCTATCTCTCTCTCCCAAAACCAAATTTATTATTCCTTCTTTTTACATTCTCTCTCTTAACGCCAAACATGTTCTTCCCTACTATTACATTCTCTCTCTAGAAACTCAACCCAATTCTTGTCTCATCTTCATTTTCTCTCTAAAAATCTAATTTCATTTTTACGTCAATCAGATCATCTCTCTAGAAATCCAACCTCTTGCTTCCTTTCTCTCATATTCTCTCTCTAGAAACCCATTCTCATTTTTACCTCTACTCATATTCTCTCTCTAGCAACCCCAAACCCATTCTTGCCTCTTCTCACATTCTTTAGCGAGAGAACGTGTGTGAGAGCGAGATAAGAAGCTTTTTAGATCTTGTTTTCAATTCGATCTATTTACCCCTCTATAGAAAGTGGGACAAAGTGAAAAGCAAAATCTCATGAGGTCTAGTTTCTTAAAAGCAAATTCTTATAAGGCTTTTATGTTAAAAAACCATATTGTCAAGGAATTAAATAGATACGACTTTTTGTATATCATATTCCTAGTTCATTGAATTTTTGTTATGAAACACAAACAAAGAATTTGCCCCCCATTTGTGAAAATGGAACTCGAATTGGATCCATGTTTTAGACTTTTTCCCAACGAGTTAGATTTCTTTTCATTCATTTTGATCCAAACTCACCTTGGGAAATTGTCGATGGTCTTGGGAATTGATTTTATCATTTCCTTTTCATGATTTGATGCTCTCATAGGTCATTCATTCTTGGTTTAAAAAAAGGTTGGGATTTTAAATTTTCCCTTAACCAGCCCCAAGCCCCTATAAAAGAGGTGGGTTGCCTTAAAAAGGCTGGAAGTGAAAAACTTTACTATAACTTTTTATGAATCTTGAATCTTGGTGTAACCCACCCCCAAATAGTTGAAAAAACGTTCTCACGACGATGATGATGATAGGTCTTATTCACTATTTGGCA